CAACCATGTTCTTCACGGTTCGCAGTTCATGAAATGACCTGTTTGGTAGCAGCGAAAGGGGCTGACGTTGGGCTGACCCAAATGACCCAATCTCTCAGGTGTCCCGACATTCATCTGTGAAAATCTACCGGACCAGGATTCCTTTGCTAGTAATTACAAGTGCATCGCTAGTAGTAACAAGTGCCTTACTAGTAGTAACAAGAAGCTAGTAATTACGATTCTAATTAAATTCTTATTGTTACTAGTAATAAGGCACTTGTTCCTAGTAGCAAACATTGTTACTACTAGTAAGGCACCTGTTACTACTAGTAAGGCACTTGTTACTGTTGATGTGATTCACGGTCCAGGATTCTGCACTTTGCACACGTCGTGCACACGTCGTTGGGAGGCACACGACTTCACCAGTCGATGAGAGGTGCACCTTTGGGATCGGTCCCGATGTTCGTTCCCTCTTAGCTTCTTGTTACGAACGTAGGAGCGTCCTTGCTCCTACTAGCGATGCCAGGAGCCCCGAACGTAGCGTCCTTGCTCCATTCATAGCGATGGCCTTTGCTACTAGTAATTAGCTTCTTGTACTGAGGGCCCATGAAATGACAAGTCCAACACCACCACCGTCAACACCATATGCCCCCCAAAAAATGGCCTGGCCACCGACAGGGGAAGCGCCGCCCTCGAACCAACCCTCGAACCACTCCGTGATGCGGCCTCAACTCTTTGCAGACTGGGAGGCCTCAACTCCTTGCAGACGACTTCTACCGTGCTGGTGAGCGGGTGGCCGCTTGAAACCGGTGTTCCGTCGATCCGCCCGCGGCGGGGCGGCGTTTTCGAGATATGACTGGTCCAACGAAAAGGGCTCTCGTCACCACATCCCGCATCCAAACACCAACAGCAGCCAGCAGTGAAGTGCTGCGACCTTTTGGGATCATTCCCTACTCTTTTCACAAGGTTATTGAAAGTGTGAGACAACCCTTTCCAGTGAAAGTAAGCATGGGTACGCAATCTGAGTTCAATAGAAGTATGTGAAGATCCTGTGGTTCTGAAGGAGTATATGTCAATCTTCAGAGGCACGTATATATGTGTGTGTGTGCGCACCCCTGAGTCTTCAGCGAAGACAGCTATAATATGACATTCTGTGATATCGCTGGAGACGTCCAGTGACGTACTTGCGTTTTGGCTTTTACTCCCCACTTGGTCCCGTTCCTAACCTGGAACAAGAACTTTGGCCTTTGCATCGATTTGCTCACTGCAGTCACGCTGCGAGCAACTGTGGGGCCGTTGAGACCTTTGGGATGCTTCTCATGGCCGCACTCGTTTGCACTCACTTTTTTCACCTACACTTCCGTGTGGCATGTGGCATTCGGATCGTAGGTACTGTCTCCCAAGTGTGCGCCTCAACCTCCATGTCCAGGATTAGTCTCACTTGCCTGCGGCTTTTGCCGGAATTTCTTGCGGCGGCAGTGGGGCAGTTGTGAGTTTTACTTGGACCCATGAAGGCAGACTCTGAGCCGGCGAAGCAAGAAGGGACACCCTCCTTAATCAAGCACTTGCATTTTTTCTGGATGGCTGAGTGGCTGAGATCGATGATTCTGAGATCGATTGTCTTTGTCTCCTCCACTTGTGAGATCTGTTTCTCAGGGATGCTGGTCGGCTTGTGTCTTTTCTCTGGTGTGGTTAACTAGCAGCAGCAAAGAGCTGATGCATCGCTGCGAGTCTGAGGACTAGGTCTGCAGAGGGTGTCAATCTGAAGTATGTCCACCGCCGTATCTTCCCAGTGGGGGTATCACATGGTGTGAGCCCTGTGACAGGCTCCGATCTTGGTTTCTTTTTTTTGCAAGTTGTTTCATCGATTCACCACAACCAGGCATCAGGTCAGGATTCATCTGCGCCATTGAAAGGACCGACTTCTGATCGATGCATCGATGTGGACGTCGCCCGCTGCGCAGCCCGGACGGATGGTCTTCGACCCTTTGCCGTCTCCCGTTGACAGGTGGCCGAGGGGTCGTTCTGAAACCCAAAAACAGTACAACGACCGTTGGAAAGTGCTGAGTTGCTGAGGGGGGTGTTGCTGAAGTTGCCCTCTACTGTCTGAAGTGTGTGTGTGTGTGACCTCTCATATGTGCGCTCGTTGATGTGTGCTCTCAAACCACTCACAAGAGTGCTCGCATCCGCATATGTGTGTTTTCGGGTGTGTCCTGCCGTGTGTGCTCTCTCATCACTGTGCTCCTCCCGGGCAAGTGCCCTCATATGTGTGTGTGCTCACTCTCACCTGTTTGTTCTCATGTGTGTTCTCGCGTCGGTGTACGTGTGTGTTCACTGTCCATGTGCTCTCATACTTGTCTTCCTGTTTGGGGTCTCTTGTCAAGAGAACCTGGCTGGCTGACGCTATCTCTCTTTTGGCCAGCTTATGGTCCGGTGGAGCCAGGGTCGACCCTGCGCCTTTGCAGAAAGCTACCCTTGCCGTCACCATTAGAATCTGCACACACTTTCCAAGTTCTAGCTCTCAGCAAAAAGCCGCCTTTGTCACACCTTTTCCCGATTTCGGTCGGTTACGCCAGGTACAGCCAGCAGCCTGGATGTCCAGCGAGCACGTAGCACGTGTTTCATCGTTTTAGAAAGAGATCTCAGGACCCTAAACCGAAGGTCCAAGGGCACGCTCTTTCTCAGGAGTTTGTGTCCCTTCCTCTTCTGTGAGGAGCAGACCCCAACGGTCCCAACGAAAAGACACATCATCACCGCATTTTGCACAACAACCTCACCACTCACGCCCATCACACACGCACAACGTTCCAATCATTTCCAATGGGATTGTTTGAACATTGCGCCCACGAGTTGTGCTGCAGGATTGTGCCTCAAAACCTTCGGACAGCACGTTGCAGATAGCCGTGACGGATGTGGTAAGCCGACCTCCGAACATGAGCACTTGCAAAGTTTTGGAACCAAAAGCGTCCCAACGCAGCGACACCACACAGTAAAGAAAAATGTCAAAAAGTTATTGCTACTAGCGTGGCACTTGTTTCTATTAGCTTCTTGTTACTACTAGTAAGGCACCTGTTCCTACTAGCGTGGCACCTTGTTTCTAGTAGTAAAAGACAAGTGTTGACCGTGTCGTCACACTTGTCCCCATGACATCGTCTTGGACCCCTGCAACACCGAGGTCGATGGTAGGCCCCAACACAGCGATGGTCGGGCGGGTTAGCTCGTGGTAAGTTGTGTGGATGTGGATCCTTGTTTTCCTCTCCCCACTGGTCTTTGGTCTTTGGGAGATGTCCATTTTCCCATGAAAAACTCGTCCACCACGTCGAATCTGCATCCAGGTTGCATCTCCGCTTGCATCTCATTGGCAAGAGATGGATCCCCCCCCGTTGCAAGAAGCGATTTGCCTTGATACTTCACTTCAGCCAAGGTCTACTGCAAGAACATGGAGGCCCTAGGGGGCTTGGCCACAGTGACCTGGGCGGAGAAACTGCCCGAGTCGTTTCGAATAGTTCATGGCAGATTCGAGGTGGTCTTCCCGAATTGATGTCTTTGATGAAAACACCACCCTGATGGCCTTGGCGTCCATCAAATACTCGGCCCAAGTTTGGGTGATTTGAATTGTGAATCTGGGTCATACCAAAACGGAGCATGTGGACACGTCAATGAACCGCTATGACTGAGGGAGATTCAGATTTTTTCTAGTGCGATATGCTTGTAAATCACGAAAGCTAGCACCAGCTAGCTGGAGTTGTCCTTGCTTTAGCAAGTGAGGGGCTGGAGATCGCCGCATCACGTGAAAACTTCATATGTAGGGGGGGCCCCCCCCCGTCCCCCCCCCCCGGATGGGCCACGAGCCCCCTGGGACGCCTCTGGGACACCTCTCGGGCACCTCTTATGGCATCCACTTTGGTTTAACTCCTCCGGGATACGGTGCAACAGATTCAACAAGCTCACAGATTCGTAAACACATCGGATGCATCGAATAGTGTGGCAAAGTCCAGCCACGCTTCCTTAATTATCGGGGACTTCAATTCTAAGGTTGGCTGTGTCATTGCTGTTTGTGTGTCTTACATGTTCACAACGTTTTACCTCATGAGCATTTGCCTCAATCCGCTTGATGTCCCACCAGTCCGGATGCACACCTGCTAGCTTTCGTCACCTACCCTCGGCCTCAAGTTGGCTTTCTGCACGTGATTGTGACATCGATGTAAGTTGAATGAGCCCAGGGATCTCTATGTTGTTTCTCTCTCTCTCTCTCTCTCTGTCTCTCTCTCTCTCTCTCTCGTTCGTTCGACAAATAATGTTACTGATCTTCAGATGAAGGAAGGCCCAAAAATAGTGGCTTTGCTGCGTTTTCTCGGTCGGGGTGGCACCCATACCTCCCTTTGGAAAGAGCCCCAAGACTTCGCCACGATCGATCGGTTCGCAACCAGACTTCGATCGGTTCGGATGCGAAAACGACATGAAACGACGTTTGCGACGTCGGTCCAGACCTTCAAGACGTTGCGACGTTGGATTTGAGGGTCCATTTGTTAGCATCTGTTAGCACCAGTTCCTGCAAGTACGGAAAGTACAACGGCAGGAAATCAAACAGGTTGCAAACCCATGCAAGCTCCAATACGATGCAACTAAGATGAGAGCATGTGAGAGTTTTGCTCTCAAGGAGCTCCGTTCGTAGCGATGCCCTTTGCTACTACTAGCGTCCTTGTTCCTAGTAGTAAGGCCAGGATCCCCTAGTAGCGTCAAAGACCACAATACTTATTGTTACACTGTATGCTGTATATAGGTCGGCCGTAGATACTGTACATGTTTCCCAGACCCTTTGAGGGGTGGAGTTTAGAGTTTGGAGCTTGACTGGAATCCAAGTTGTCCCTTGTGGTCAGATGCCTCTTCCTGGTGTTCTTTTTGGAGATCCGTTATTGATAATATCTTTCAAACAACTGCAGCTTAGACTTTAAGATCATTAACCTCGCGTGGTCTTTCTTGTTGGCCCCCAAAACCTGGTGGTCCTGCGTATCACCCCTACCATCCGCACACTCCAGTTTCACACCCATGGGCAGATGGCCATCTGCCCGGCACAGCGCGTTTGGCGCCATGTCATTGGCCTCCTTTGCCTGCAACCCACCTGGCCTGCGTCGACGGTGTCCACCGACTGGCTCGACGGTCGGTGTGCACCCCATGCAGCGCTGCTGCCGCCGGAGGTGCGGTGCCACGGGCGTTCGAAAAGGCCATCGTGCCACGCGCCGGTCACAAGAGAAGCGAATCTGGGAGGCCATGGCTGCGGGTAGCGATGGCCTCCAATCTCATTGCACAAGGAACCTACTAGCATCTAAGAACGATGGCCTCCAACCTACTACTGATCCGTTGATCCTGTGTAAGTATAGCAAAGCTCGGAGGAGCCACCACCATGAACGTCTCCAGGCATGCGCTCCACGCGCCTTCCCAGAGCAGTGTGCGACGCGCACGCCCGTGGATGGCTCCTGGGTGTGGCCCGGACGCAACTGGTGCTGGGTGGCCACGAAGCGCCACGCCTGCTATGGGCATCACACCTGGGAGGAGGCAGCAGAGGTGGCTGAAAAGGAGATGGAGGTGGTCAAGGCCACTGAGGCGGGAAGTGCCACCAGAACAGCTGAGCACCATGGAGCAAAAGGATGTTGATCAGCTTCTTGTTCCTAGCATCATGTGGGATCACTGACAAAAGACGACACATGACAACCAGTGATAGTGTTTAAACAAGTAGTCTTTAAGGTTTGGTAAGTTCAGTGGTTATTGACTGATTTTTAAAACCAGCTCTTTAAAACCTATAGTCTATAAGTAAGTTGCAGATGTGCGCAAGTCTGAATGTTTAGTTCAAAAAATCTTTATTTTTTACATGTTGAATATGTTTCTTAAATATACATGTTTGACATTTTTGTACCTTAAAATATTTTTTGTATGGTTTATATTTTTAAAATCTAGCTCAAAACCCTGTATATCTAAACCCTGCAGTTCTGCACCTGGAAAATTGTTCAATGATAATAGCAAACATTGCTCCGTTCGTAGTACGGCCAGGAGCCCCGTTCGTAAGCGAACCTTGTTACTGCCAAGAGTCCTCCCTCGGGTCGAAAAGTTCTCTCCGAGAAGTCGAAGCCAACAAGTTCAGCTCCACGAACTGAACCGAGACGGAACGAATCCCTTCCGAGTCTGACATCGAAAACACCCAGAGAAGCCCAAGAGTCATCCTATGTCATAAATCGTGAAACTCCACAAGTGCTCTTATGACGTGTCTTTAAACACTGAGGCTCCATGTATGACACAGTTGCCTATGTGGCCATGTCTGCTCATTATTGACGGAGGCCATGTAGTTGATTTTTGGCTACCGTCAAAGCCCCACAGTCTCGGAGGTCTCGAAACGGCATCACCCAGCGTGACCCAGTGTGACCGGAATCATGACAGGGTCTGTAGATAAAAATTTGCATACATGTGGTCACGTGTAGTCAAAAAACGCATAGAAAGTCTCGGACGTCTTGCGTGACCCGGTGTGACCTATCAGAGAGAGAAAGAAGCTCAAAAACGGCTGATGGTGATTTTTACAAACGGAGCGTTTCTCAGCGTCAATGTTATCCAAACAGAAACACATTATCGATGTCAATTAGTATTGCGGACATTGGTGCCTATGGGTTTAAACATATTGGGTTGGAGGCATCGCTCTTAGGTTAGAGGCCATCGCTTTTATGGCATGTCTTTAAAGCCACCACTCTTCCAGCTTTTCATATCCAGGGTGACGTGCCGCTGCGGCGCCCGGAGCTTTGCGACGTGCGCGCGCACGGGCGGCCATTGAAGCCGAACGAGACGGCGTCAGTGCAGCAAAGGACCAGCTTTCGCATCGAGGTGGAGAGCAGATGAGAGCAGTGGGGATTGGACCGTGACCGAAAAGATGTTTTGCATCCCTACCCACCTGGGAATGTCCCCTGAATACGTTGCTTTGCGATGTTTGTTGGGAAAAGGACAGACAGGGCACTGACATTTTTATGGAATCCCATGGAGTATTTGGTCGTTTGTTGTCTTGGTCGTTGGGGAGGAAGTTCGGGCAGAGCTTCCCGGTGTTCGATGCGTTTGGGTACCGACGGTACCGTCCACACGAACATCCCCAGATCCGAAGTTTGTGGACCAAACCAAACCTGAAGATGCTTACAGCATGTCTGTGAGCTGATTGCCTTGCATCTTTTCCCAGGTCCACAGAAGTACAGCACATCAAGAGCATTTTTACATGTCGTTGGTGAAGAGAAGCCACGACAACTTGATCAACTTGCAATTTGCGCGCAACAGCCCGCAACATATTGCTACAGACATTCAGACATGATTTCCTTTACTTTTCAAAAGGAAGAGCGTTTACCACATGTTCCTTTCCAGGGGCTGGAAAGAGGGGCTCTGTTTGTTGTCACAGTTTTCTTTCACAAACGCTCGTGTTTTTCTACGTGCTCGCACCACGCGAGAGTCACGAGGCGGCAGAGGCCAGCTTTTGGTTCGTGCCGCGGCGGACAAGTAGCGTCATTTGTGACGCGTCACACGTGGAGGTCGGGGGTTGTGTGGAGAAAACAAAGAAAAGCTCCGTTCGTAGCGTCCTTGCTCCTAGTAGTATGGCCAGGAGCCCCTAGTAGCTTCTTCTTACACCAAATTCCAAGTGGCGGATCTGTTGGAGATTGGCGAGGGTCATCATTCCAGCTGGATGAACAGATGGGTCCGTTGGTCTGGTTTCAATCCGCACCGAGTCGGGCGCTCCCAGAGTGACCATCGCCGTGGAATCCTCCGGCGATTTGGCTCGAGCTCACGCAGGCGCCTTCGCCGGGTCGCAGTCCGTAGGGCCGTAGGGTACCTCCTGAGGACGTACGCACGCAATCGCAGGTCCGGACGAAAATACCAACTCATCATAACTCAGCCATCTCCAACCTGAATGGCAAACCATATTAGACAATTCTTCCTTTTCTATGTTCTTTGTTTCTAATAGCGACGCCTCCAAAAAGAACATCCTCAAGAGGTATCGCTCGACCCTCGGCAATGACCGCTCCATTGCTTTGGCGCATCGTGGCGGGTCTCGGCACCTTCGTTTGCTGCATCGGTGGTCCAGCTGTCGCGATCTTCGTCGGGGCTACGCGTCCGGAAGCACCTAAGCTACGGCCGGGAGAAGTGTCCATTGCGATTCTTCTTTCAGGCAAGTACTTCCACCACATGTCGGTCCGTTGGTAAGTCTTAGGGTGTTCCAGGGATGAAAACACCATCTTTTGAGGGGTTGGTTTGTGTTTTGCGGCGCTTTACGTCGTTACCTTATGAAAATAGCAGACAGTCATAGCACTTGGACGAGATATTGGGTGCAGGTTTCTGTTCAGTGACCGTTGTTTGTCCCCTCTCCAGGTTCTGGTTGCTTGCTGTGTTTCGTGGCCTCGGTCATCATTGCTTGTTACAATGGGAACGACTACACCGGCGATCCATTTGATCCCCAGCCAGTGCAAGAGGAGCCGGTCACAGACACACGAACGCCCGAGATCATTGGGGTCGCGGAAAAGGAGGCCGCCGTGTGACTGCCCAAAGATGGCTTAAGCTTGCGAATGCACCGCCATCTCTGAGGGATTGGAGAGATGCGTTTGAATTAGATGCCATGGAACTGGCAAGAGGAATTGCTGCTTCCCATGGCCAACATGTCCATGTGCAAGAGTTCTATTCTCAGATTCAACGAAGGCCCTCAACGCAGGCTTTCTCCTCAACACTGTAAGACACCGCTGTGCAAGCCTTCTTATTGGCCAAATACATACACCAAACAGCGGCTTGGGCTGGTGGCCAGCGGCTACCAGAGCGTTTAGAGGAAGTCAGGCTTTGCCCTGCTGGATTTTGCCGCAATTGATTCGCAAACACCATGCAATATTAAGAGGATCGAAAGGTCCAGATTTCGCTCAACACCCGCCCCTTCATCCACAGTCGCGAAGAAGGTCACATCAACAAGCAACTGGCCCTTTTTGAGGAGCGTGCACAGATGGATCAAGCCAAACATATGTCATCGGCGAAATCGCCGATGAGATGAAACGTGCGATCTCGCAAAAGCTCGCCGCAAAAGCTCGCAGGGATGGCACGGGCTCGTATCCGTTCCAGGGTTTCATGCTCGTTATGCCAAGAGAGGCGAACATGTGTTTGCTGTTCCTAGATTCTAGAGGTTTCTCTTTCTCTTGCAGGTTGCATGTGGCATTCCGGCTGCATTTAGGGCCTGTGCGTTTGGTGTGCCTCTGCTGTTGCTGTCCTAGCTGCAGGACACACTTGGGGTGGGAACAACGTGGCACACGCTTGTTGGTTGAAGCTGGCGGTTTTCCCAAAAGTATAGTGTGGTAGTGTGCTGCATTGCAACAAACTGAAGAGCCTTTCAATCCGTGAGTCAGTGGTGTCATCATCCCTAGTTTCCATGACCCCCCAAAGTCGTACCAACTCTTCACATTCATAGGCTTCATGTTCCTCATTGATGAACTTTGCTTGGGCCGTCCCTTGACAATTCACCTTCCACAAACAAGATCCGAACTACCTTCTTGCATTTTCTTGTGGATCTATCCTTTAATGTCATATTGTATATATATATAATATATACATATATGGACATCCTTACACATCCCTAGACCAAGAGCATTTAGCAAGTATACGTCTCGAGGAAAAGACATTCAACGGTGAAAAGGACCTGGGCCACCAGAGCTTGGTGGTTCCCGAACATGATCCTTTTCTTCCGCGATCGCTACCAGGGTGGAGGCGGAACCCAATCCGAACCGGCTCGACTTCGGGTGGTATGAAGTCGAAGGTCGGCGAGGGAGGGCGGGTGAGTCAGTAGCGGTGCACTTGTTCCTAATAGCTTCTTGTTACTACTAGTAAGGCACTTGTTACTAGTAGCGATGCACTTGTTCCTAGTAGCTTCCGGCCCGTACGAGGTGGGTCAGGGGATTTCTTCCTGGGTGGTGCAGTCAGCGCAAGGCGTCTCAAAGGGTGGTGTTGTGAACGAGTAGACTTGACTCCCACCCTACTAGCGATGGCCTCCAAGCATGAAGCAAGAAGACGGAAGCAACTGATCATTGGAAGAATTTGGAAAGCCTAGTTGAAGTAGTCGCAGATCACTGACAGAAATCAACTCTCCCCGCTAGAAAAAAAACAGGTGGAACTAAACTGACCTCCGTGTTCTCCATGTTCTCCTTTCTTTTGGGCCCAAAACCACGACACCTCTTTCTGGCCCCCCAAAAAAACAGAAAGGACCCACCGCCTCCGCGCCCGCCGCGTGCGGCGCCTGAGCCGAGGATCGGAACGTGGCGGTCTACGTGGTGAGCCTGCCCAGCGCTGTTCTCCGATGGAACCGGATGCAGCAGAGGCTCCAGGAGCGACGCTTCGCTTGGCCGTGCTAGACTGGCAAAGCGAAGCCCTAGGTGTGCTTAGACGAGATGACCACATCCATGTCCGTTTTACAAGTTAGATATAAAGGTAATTATGGGTACAAGGATTGAATGGTTGTTGAAAAGAGGAGAAGATGGGTCCCGGAATGTCCCAGAGTACTCTAGGTGAACGGTTTCAAGATGCAGCTGCTAGAATAAAAATATACCAGCGTTGACCCCAAACAGTTTGTTTGGTCCAAGTCCAAACTCATTTTGCGAATTGGTATTGGCAATGTAGGCGTCAGGCACCAAATCATTGCCGCGGCGTTTGATTTCAACAACACAAGCAATCCCTTGCTGAATCTTTAAAGACACAAATCCGCCAAAAGTTGTGTCGGCGCCCTGGAGTTTTCTTCCCTTTCAATAATTCTGCTAAATTCCTGAGCCAGGCAGTTCCTGAGCCGGGCGAGTGTAGAGAAAGAGCAAAATCATGCGGCCAGAGCACCCACAAGGAACTGGAGACAATGGGAGACAAGTGGGAGACATGTAGGTGTTAAAATCACGCGGCCAAAGCACCCACAGGAGACCGGAAACAGTGGGGCACGCAGCGAACTGGAGACAGTGGGGCACAAGTGGGAAACACGTGTAAAATCATGTGGCCACAGCGAGCACAGTGTGGCAGGAACGCAAGCCCGGAGACAAATGTAAAATCATGCGGCCCGGTCATGCACCCCTTTCAAAGGAGTAAGAACCCCTCACAGGTAGACCTGTTTGGTGAATTATAGGACCGAATAACCCCACATGTTAACAACTTCACCAGACACAGGAGCGGACAATTGGTGGTTGGTGGGTGGCAATTGGTTGGTGGCAATTTCTTGGTGGCAGTTTGTTGGTGGCAGTCTGTGGGTGCAGTCTGTTGGTGGCAATTGGTTGGTGGCAACTGGTTGGTGGCAACTGGTTGGTGGAAGTTTGTTGGTGACAATTGGTGGGCGGCATCTGGTTGGTGACAACTGGTTGGTGACAATTGGTTGGTAGCAAGTGGTGGGTGGCAATTGGTCGGTGACAATTGGTGGTTGATGACAATTGGTTAGTGACAATTGGTGGGTGGCACTTGGTTGATGACAACTGGTTGGTGACAACTAGTTGGTAGCAATTGGTTGGTAGCAATTGGTGGGTGGCAATTGGTTAGTTGGTTGGTGACAATTGGTGGGTAGCAATTGGTTGGTGGAAGTTTGTTGGTGGCAGCTGGCTGGTGACAGTTGGTGGTGACAATTAGTTGGTGGCAACTAGTTGGTAGCAATTGGTTGGAAGTACTGTGCCTGCGACGCAAATCACAGCGGCACAGCGGCAGAGACCCAGCAGCCCCGGCCAGCGCCAGGGCGTACATCCAACCCCCTGGAGAAGACAATTAGTGGCAATTGGTTGGTAGCAAGTGGCTGGAGAACACCTAAGTACGGCACCTGCCACGCAAATCACAGCGGCACAGCGGCGGAGACCCAGCAGCCCCGGCCAGCACCGGAGCGTACATCCGACCCCCTGGAGAAGACAATTGGCGGATGGCAATTGGTTGGTAGAATATTGGTTGGTGACTCGTTGGTGACATTTGGTTGGGGACAATTGGTTGATGACAATCGGTTGATGACATTGGTTGGTGACAATTGGTGGGCGGCAGTTGGTTGATGAGAAATGGTTCATGACAATCGGTGGATGACAAGTGGTTGGTGACATTTTGTTGGTGACAATTTGTTGGTGGCAATTGGTAGCAATTGGTGGGTGACAATGATAGTTGGTGGCAATTGGTTGGTGACAAGTGGTTGATGACAATCGGTTGGCGACATTGGTTGGTGACAATTGGTGGGTGGCAATTGGTTGGTGACCAGTGGTTGGTGGCAATTGGTTGGTGAGAATTGGTTGGTGGTAATGGTTGGTGGCAATTGGTGGGGAGGAGGGGAAGGAGACAAAAAAACCCACACGTCAATGTGGGGAAAAACACGAGTTGGTGTTCCTTTGCTGGGACCACCGACTCTCATCCACCGAAGTCTTCCGGCTTCGTCCAAATGGACCGCACCGTTTCAGACCCGTTCACTTCACTCCCGAGCCCAAGACGAGAGGGGCGGCCTGGCCCGGCCATCTGGTCAATAGATGATGTGAAGACGAACTAGACGACAACCAGTCTAGAGTATAGGTGCATCGCTACTAGCCCCTAATTTTTTGTCTCTAGAAGCTTCTAGCTACTAGTAGTAGCGATGCCCTTGTCACTCGTGAATCAACGTTTATGTCTTTCCAAATTGGGAGACTGAAAAGGAGCCTTTCAAGGGCCCCTCTTCAATCTGACGTGATTCTCTTCAGCTTCCAAGTTCGGTTGGTGTTCAGATCCCACCAGGTGGAGAATGGGAACCTCATAGAACCGGAAAGACATGTTTCATGCATCCGAAACATCAGTGTCAAGCAACAATCTTGCTTTGCTCTTGCAAATCTCTCCATGCCAACGATGTCACAACGCTCCAATCCACATCAAAACAGCTTGACTCCCCGTGCGTCTTGGAAGGTTTTTGACATGCTGTGTGACTGCGCCTGATGTCCTCAAGCACATTGGACATGGAATGGCTGCGTGGGGCTGACGAGTTGTTTGTCCCTTGATGTTCGCCTCAGAGACCAAACCAGGTGTCGTTCCCCTGATCCAGCGCGTGGCAAGTAGCGCCAGACGCTCCGGCATAGCCGCAGTTTCACGCATTTTTTAACGTAGAACCAGGTCTAGTATGGGATACGCTGGCGGAATTCTTCGATTTTTTCCCGTTCTCCATGGTTGACCAGCGATGGCCTCCGACCTGCTAGCGATGGCCTCCAACCTACCAGCAATGGCCCCCAACAATGGCCTCCAACCTGCCAGCGATGGTCTCCAACCTGCTAGCGATGGCCTCCAACCTACTAGCGTTGGCCTGCAACTACTACGCATGGCCGCCAACCTAATACCGATGGCCTCCAACCTATAATGGTGATTGCCTCCAACCTCACAGCTTGGCAAAGACCATAGATATCTCTTGCTGTTGCTGGGATTTCTGACGTCCTAGCTTGCAAGGAGCTCGAGATCAACGTCCAGCGCGTGGATGGAATTGACTTGGCATCCGCCTCCGGATTGGAGGCGGCAAAGAAGGCCCGGAGAAAAACCGTTGAACCCGATCAGGGGAAGTGAGTCAAGTAGGCTACAAGCTGAAGGCCTTTTTTGGTGGACTCGGGCCGTGGAGATTGGCTTGTGTAACGGCGCTGGGGAAGCCTCGGCCCGCCATGGGCTGGTGCACTTGTTCATGAGCGCCTCACGCAGTTGGCATTGAAACGTTGACGCTAATCTCACACACACACACAGCTCCATTCATGTAAGTCAGTGTTGGGCCAATTGGGGACGTTTGCAGTGGCACAATATTTTTTTGAATACGCCCAACAAGAGCGGCGCTCACATCAATCTGATGAGCTCGGGTCACACAGTGTGCGATCGCTGCTGGGGACGCACACCCAGCAGGGTCGAAAGCGTTTGAGGGCAAGCCACTTAGAGTCAAAGTGCATGACACTGAGACGATGAGCTGATGTGTCCTTGACGGAGTCCGTCAACACTCGCTGTACGCGGCAGATGGCCAAAATGGAGGCCAAGCCGGACATGGGTTCTACCTGGACCTCGACAAGTCGCGAACTCCATGGGCTTCGGTTTTCGCTCGCTTCGCCAGGAAGGGCTGGTGCCCTTTGGGTGGAACTATACCGCGGCCAAGGACCGAAACGGGCCGGACTCAAACCACGGGCATAACATGGGGCGACACGCGCGGGCGCGAGGTCACAGAATAAGAAACCAAATTGCAAAAGGAACCTCCACCCTACTAGCGATGGCCTCCGCCCTATAGTAGCGATGGCCACCTCTACTAGGGATCGCCTCCACCCTACTAACGATGGTCTCCACCCTACTAGCGATGGCCTCCACCCTACTAACGATGGCCTCCACCCTAGTAGCGATGGCCTTTACCCTAGTACTAATTGGTCCGTTTCAACTTGTAAGTTAGATCAGATATGTCTACAGTATACTACAATTAGCTTCTAAGCTGATCAAGTTTACTAGTAACTTTTTGTAAATATGACAACTATATAAGTAGCGCAAGTATCAGTATAACTATGACACTTAAGATACTTAGCAATAACTTATGTAATCACCCTAGCAACTACTTAAAGGTTACTTAGCCTACTTAGCGGCACATATTTTTCAAAAAACAACATTTGTTTGCTACCCATGTTCTTGAGGATTTCCTCATTTATACATCAGTTTTTTATAAATGTATATACCTCCAGCCCGTGGGTGGAGGCGGAGGCGGCGCAACCCAAAGAGGCTGTGATGTAATAGGGAGACTCACTTGCACTGCGGGCACTGCGGGCGGGGATGGCGTGTATAGAGAAGAGTTTCCTGGGGAAACCTGTATAGTGAGGGAACAGTTTCTTGCGGGAAGCTGGCGGGAGGTGCCTGTAGCGAGGCAGCTGGCGAGGGCGGGCACAGCTTCCCGCGGGAAGCTAGCAGAAGAGACAGCCAACGCACAGCGAGCGGACGCTGTTTGGCTTATATACAGCAGGCCAGCGCAGACGGGCTGCGGACGTCTGACTTGCGGTGCAGACGGTGTTAGCATGGACATTCCTGTGGGGGATGCCGTCGAGCAGCCGCATATATGGACCTGCGCACGGGGATGCTATCGAGCGGCCACTTGCGAACGCCGGAAATCCACGTGGTGGTCGGGATCCCTGCTTGGGATGCCCGCGGTTGGAATATACACCTGTGGGTATATAGGATGCGCCTGTGCGAACACCCCTCTTGCAGTCTGAGACGCCTATAGTAGGCGGCGGGCACTCGAGCGCAAAGCAGAGAAACCCGGACTCGCAGCTGTGGAAAACGAAGAGTTGCGCATGTTGCCTCTGAACATCTGGTCCTCATTTGCGTATTACATATCAGACCCTGCAGGTCCGGTCTGGGACCGCCGCGCATGGTGGCACAACACGGAGCGCGCCAGGCCGCCGTCCGGCGTGAGAAAGAGATCTGGCGGCGCCGGACCGCGGTCGGCGCCCGCAGAGTCCTGCACGGACGCTTTGCTCTACGCAGGCGACGCAAGCAGAAGCGAGTGAGTTGCATGTCGACAGGAGGCGTCCGTCGACATTGTACAACGAATGCACGCCTGGACCTGCTACTTGCCTGGTTCCTGGCCACGTTTCCACTGCGCCGCAATATATACGGCCAAGGTGGACACCTTTGCAAGTGCCAAACGGCACTCTTGGACAACACGTACACCGCGGAAGAGATTGCCGCGGAAATTGTGTCTTTGCGCGCGCCGCATATTTTTTTCCTAGCACGCACGTGAAAAAAACATATATTTTTTGCCTCAAACATTGAAATTTCCAAACTACAAAAATGCCCGTCTACTTGCAACCTACTTAGTAGGCATGACTCATGTAGCAAACTTGCGCTACTTATTAAGTCATGCCGTAAGTAACAATACTCATATGCTAACTACCACAAGTCGAAACGGACCTATTAGTAGCGATGGTCTCCACCCTACTAGCAGCGGTGGCCTCCCCTACTATAAGTATGGCCTCCACCTTACTAACGATGGTCTCCACCCTACTAGCGATGGCCTCCAGCCTAGTAGCGATGGCCTCCACCCTACTAGTGATGGCCTCCACCCTACTATAGCGATGGCCTCCAACCTAATTGCGAGAAATCACAGATCGTTTTGGTGTCCGGTGTCCTGGCTGGAGGTCCTCAGCAAGTGTGGGTGTAGTCCGACCAAGACCCAGGCGCAGGATGCTCCTAGTGCTCTATATATGTTTCCCTTTGGGGATCTTTCTTTTTGTCAAAACCAACTCCGAGATTCGCGCCCAGTTTGGGTGTTCCGGTGTTCGTCAGGCCGCCTCGGGCGTTTCGGAAGGAGACGATGGTCAGACTCCTGCAGAAGAGCAGCAAATCAGCTGCAGAGAGGTGGGGAAAGCCGCTTTGCGCGCTGCCCAAACGAAGTCCAGCTCAGACTCGGGTCACTTTAAAGACCGCTTGGTTCTACTTGGTTTGAAGGCCATCGCTGGTAGCTTGGAGGCCATCGCTATTAGCTTGGAGGCCATGGGAGTTGGAGGAGCCAATGATGTAGCACTGGTGATTTGACCCAAAGGTGACTCTCTCTTCAAGTCGCCTTGGACTCCCAGGGTTGTGCAAATTGGATTCGACCCTCGTTTTTCAGCAGCAGCTTCGGCACACGTCTTTCCTTAGATCGATGCTCATCAGTCCATGGGGGGTCAATTATGGAGCTGACACAGCATGTTTAGATGTCGATAGCCTGCGTTGCGTTTGGTCATGTTCAAAACCCTAAAAAAAACTCTACAGTAGGTTGGAGGCCATCACTACTAGGGTGGAGGCCATTGCAATTAGGTTCCTTTTGCTATTCGATTGAACGCTTCGCAAATCATGACCATCAACGCTCGTTCGCTCGTTCACTCACCCACGCTTCGCGCTTGGAGTGCCAATGGAACAGTCACTGTGTCCTATTATACCATGAACCTTCTTAGAACTTCATATGGGTATGAGATGTTATGAGTATGAGGCCAGGTTCCACAAAATCCAGGAGGGTGACAGGTTGTGAGACGTCGAAAGCTCCATAAACACAAACCCGAGATCCAAACACAAGCTTCCTCTTGCTCCGTTCGTAGTAATGCCAGGAGCTCCGTTTTTTCAGCATCCTTGCTAGTAGCGATGCCCGTTTGTTCCATTCGTAGTTCACGCGCGATCCAAAGCGGAAGGTACCTGGAGAACTACGGTTTGGGCACCGTGGGCTGCGCTGCCGCACATCTGCGGGCACTCTGGACAGCTGCCAGTGCTTGGCATGCGCGGAAGCCCCTGGCGACGTGGCGAAGACATGGCGAGGGAAAACAGGTCACCATGTCATGCAGGATCAGCAGATCCCAAGCGGATGAAAGCTGGTCGCCAGCTGGTTTGGATGCACGGTTGAGGGTAGGAAAGCTTATTCCTGAAATGAACGGGAAGCATTGGGAGGGGTAAAAAGGGCCGGGTAGGATTCAGAGACGGCTGAGAGGCTTGAAACAATGGTTTGTCAGGTGGCCAAATTTTTCGCGACACTGGTTCGCCACGATTTCTCCGTCTGCGCGACGGCGCAGCAGTTTCTCCACGGTGTCTCCACGGTTTCTCCTCCACTTGGCTCACCGACTGGGCCCAGTTGGCTCGGTTCCTTTTTTCTCGGTTCCTCGTTGGCTGCAAGAAGTGCTCGGGCGGCTCCATGTCAAGCGAGCGGTGTTTTTTGGGGGGAGAACCCTGACATGATAGGATAGGCCGGCCTCCTGGCGAATGATACTTTTTTGATTCCATTTGATTCCCTTAATAATGTGTCTTGATACCCTTGGCCTGGTATCCAAGAGAAGAGGTTGAAGAACCCTAGCTCGAGTATCCCCAAAAGGTCCGAACGCCCAGGTGCTGATCCTGGAAGATGACGTTTGGCTGGAAGAAGACTTTAAGCTGAAAGTGCGAAAGCTACTGAAAGCCGAAGCACCCTGTGACTGGCAGGTGAGACAAAGCAAAGCAGAGAGACGGGTTGCCTGTTCATCACAGGTCAGAGCTTGGAACCCATTGACAAGCAGGTAGTTGATTCCTACCCTTTTGAAGCAACCAAATTCACTCTCATGTGGACCCTAATTTAGGGCCTTTGATGGGTATGGTATACCCAGAGAGTATGCCCACTCCATGTACCCCTCCTTTCTTCCTCTTCAGCTCCTAAGCAGATGCCAATCACCGCGCGGCGTTCGCTGCCCATCACCAGCAGGTGATCTCCCTGCGCTCGCAATGTCCCTATGGGACGTGCGTGAGTCCGCACCTGACGCGTGTTCAGCCCGATGGCAACGAACCGGAAGAGATGTGCAGGCGTCGTAGGGGACGGGCTTCCTGCAGACCAAAAACGGCGCTTCGCCGAGGAATTGAAGGGAAGGTCGGAGAATTCGTTCTTCCCAAGGATTGTTCTGTTAACTTCTGGCAATTGACTCCTAAATGTCTTCCATGGAGAGTGGATCCGTAAATCCCTGCTCCCAGGTCCATAGCTTGACTGTTCACTGGTTGGAGGCCGCTCTTAGGTCCGACCCCGCTACCCAACGCAGATCGACCGGGAAAGATCGGCCGTGTCAGAGTTGGATCGTGGTGTATTTAGATGAAGAAAAGGAGCTCGAATTCAGGATAGCCCTGGCCTCCCACCTAGCGATGGCCTCTACCTCGAATTAAACATGAAATGCTGTTGCTGTCGCGGACCTGGACATTTGTTTGGCACACATGGCGCACATGTGGATGAAATGGCCATCGAAAAGCTTGAAGATCCGGGGTCAAGTTTTGAGATCCAGTGCGGGGAGTGTTCGGCAATCCGCGGTTGAGATCGGCAACAGATGGTCAAGATCGGTGGCGCGGAAAGCCTTTTTTTCTGCAGTTCTTCGGTCCATGATCCGTCCCTTAGTGCGATCAGCAGCCCACAGCGACACCTATTGGTGAGCAAGCTTGACCGGCTTCGCGGTTCCAACAGCCCTCTCTATCGACTCGGCGGGCGAACATCCAATGGTGTTTTTGTGTCCACCACCGAATTGGGTACAGTTGATGGACAACCATGCAGACACCAAACATGATTACTATCATTTTGTGCCTCTCATGGCTTGTGCGTGGAAAACCTGGATCTTGGCGTCTTCTCCACAAAGTGGGCTCGGTCGGTCGCCCGTCGCGAGACATGGGGTGAACTACGGCTTCTACGCGATGCTCTACCAAGCCGATGCCTTGATCTTTGTGGCTAATGCTCTGCATCAGGACGAATCAGTCCGGAGGAAGGTCGACGCGCTTTCTCTTCCATCGCTCTTAAGGGTGAAGGCCATAGCTATTAGGTTGGAGACCATCGCTATTAGGTTGGAGGCCATTGCTAGTAGGGTGGAGGCCATCGCTATTAGGTTGGAGGCCATTGCTATTAGGTTGGAGGCCATCGCTATTAGGTTGGAGGCCATTGCACCTGTGTTGGAGACCATTGCTATTAGGTTGGAGGCCATCTCTCTTAGGTTGGAGGCCATCGCTATTTGGTTGGAGGCCATCGCTATTTGGTTGGAGGCCATCGCTATTAAGTTGGATGCCATCGCTATTAGGTTGGAGGCCATCGCTCTTAGGTTGGATGCCATCGCTATTAGGTTGGAGGCCATCGCTATTAGGT